ACTGTATATAGGAGACTATGTTTCAAGCTTATAGCTAGCAGGATTTCTGCACAAGTTTCTCTATACTTCTTCCTCTTCAATTAGGTGTTGGAACGAGCTCAGGATGTGAAGCGGTTGCACATATATCTCGTATTTATGCTCAGAATCCTACAATTGCTCAACACATTGTTAAATCGACTTTATAAATGCTTACAATTCATAAAACATTTCCCAGCTTTTATAAACTATATCCTTTCATCTTATAAAAAACCATCCCATTTGGTATTTGGCTATTATATCTTAAATTCTTCTGAAATTCAACAGGGCGATCCCCTAGGTCCATATTATTTTGTCTGAGTATCCATGATTTGATCACTAAAATAAAAAATTACTGCTCGCTACCTCTACATTTATGGTACATTGATGATGGGCTCATGTCCAACGATTCTGCTGAGGTAGAAAAGGCTGTTAATATTATTAAGGCTTCCACTGACAGTCTCGGATTTGTAATCAACCAAACCAAAACCGAATATTGTGAAATCAATACAATTCCATTAAACATTTTTGGCTTTAAGCATGTCCCCTTGAAAAATTTATCTCTTTTGGGTTCTCCCATTGGTAAGGAGTCAGTAAATTCTTTTTTTTTAGCCATATGGACGATATATTTAAAAATTTTAAACGCATTCCCTTTCTCTCGGCTCACATCGTAATCGTTTGCTAACTATTTATTACATTATTATAATTATATTATTACCAATTGAATTATATAAATTCCATAAATATAAAAATTTTAGTTGTAATGAATACCATTTTTTAAAAAATATAAAAATATGTTTGTCGCAACTACTGTGAATGTCATATCGCTTACGACACATCAGCTGCTGTCTTTAATATTGTGTCATGTCGCCGTCGCTCACTACTGTGAATGCACCCTTAGGGAATTTTTTTCGATTTTGCCGATTTTACTACTAAAGGCAAGAAATCGGTTTGACTAAACTACAAATGCCTAAGTAAACTGCAAATGCCAAGGTAAACTGTAAAGGCTTAGGTAAAATTATTGGATATATTCTCTATTATTTGAAATTAGATTGATTTTCTTATGATATAAATAACTTATAAAAATTAAATTATTAGATATATTCATAATAAAGGAATCTACATTAATATTTTTATTTCCTTTTATCTCATAATAAATAGACTATTTAATATATTTATTAAATTTCAATAATATTATATCCTCAAGTTGGCCTATTATTTTAAATTTTTTCATAAAATAATCATATGCCAACTTGCGGATTTAATATTATTGAAATTTAAAATATGATTATAATTATTTTTAATATAATTATATTAAAAGATTTAAACTATTTATTATGAGATAATAGGAAATACAACTATTAATGTATATTCCTATATTATTGAATATCTAATAATTAATTTTCATTCGTTATTTATATCATAAGAAAATAAATCTCACTTCAATTAATAGAGTATGTATCAAAAATTTTACCTAAGAATTTGCAGGTTACCTAGGCATTTGCATTTTAGTCAAACCCGCAAGAAATAGTCCAAATTTAACAAAACCTTTTAAATTAGTATAAATTTTCAAATGAGTAGGTTATTATTTAAAATTAATCAATTAACTTTAAAAGAAATAATAAATTTCTTTATTTTTATCTGTTCTTCGGTGTCCTTTTGCCATTGAACCATTTTTGATTGACTGATATTTAGTGTTGTTAAACGGCTAGTGTTCTTAAAAGAGGTCTGAGCCGAAAAATTGGCTCAAGCCGGCTCAGGATTTGGCTCAAGCCGGCTCAGGAGTTAGCTCAAGCCGGAGTTGGCTCAAGCTAGCTAAAGAGTTGGTTCAAGCATGCTCAGAAGTTGACTTATGCCGACATTTGGGCCGAAATTTATTTATTTGTGATTAGTGTTGTTAAAAAGTTGAGCCAAGCCGGCTTAGCCCTAACCTAAGCTAGTTTTTGAGTCAAAAATTAACTCAGGCTCAAGTCAGCTCATTGAGATTTATAAGTCGGCCAGCTCAGAGTTGGCTAAAGCCAGCTCAGGAGTTAGCTTGAGTTCAATTTTGAGCCGAAATTTATTTATATGTGATTGAGACATTTTAAGAATATAATTATGTAGAATTTGTTTTCTACGGCCACGTTTTGAGTGAAAAAATGGATTCAGAATTAAGCTAGCTCGATGGGCAACATAAATGGGTTAGCTGAAGTTATTTCAGAACTTTGAGGTCGCTCACGTGTTATTGATAACTACAATAATATTACCTGGTGTTTTACGGCTTAACTTAAGAATTACGATTAAATTCTTATTAATAAAAAAGGATTCATTTTTAATCATTCTTTCGTAATATTTTTAAATTATTATTTTATATTAATTATTAATGTATATGTAAGACAAATTTTAAAAAAAGTTAATGTTAAAAAAAATAAAAATAATAAAGGCGTGGAGAAAATTTAATCACTAATTTGTAACTATTATTTGAACTTTGAATAATATTTTACTTTTTGCAAAGTCTGATTCATTTTTTATTTATTTTTTTATCGCATTTAGAGTCACAGCAGAAAATTACAGGGATAGAGGTATATATGTTTATTTTATTTTTTTTCACTAGAAGATTAGTTTTTCTTTAAAAGTAGTTACATAATTTTGCTAAAATTTGTAATCTTAAACGGGATATATTTTTTTGTTAATTAAAATAATTTAGATTTCGCTAGGTAAATTTGAAAGGAATATAAATATCTTTTTTTAAATATTTATCTTTCAAAAATATTTATGAAGAAAAAGTAATTTATTTTGGTATGCATGAAAATGAACTTATCTTTATTTGAGCAAAACTAAATATTAATAAACTCTTTTAATTTGATAATAATTAATTTAGTATATTTTATATTCTATCTAAAATAACATCGTTCAAATGTAATGAAGAGTTTCTAACTTTGTTTATCGGTTTAAAATATTAATAATTAATAAGGAATAATTTAAATATATTACATCAGAAGATAAAAAAAACAAATTCAAAATAAAAAATATTACGAAATAATTAAAAATGAATCAGACCTTTAATAAGAATTTAATCGTAATTCATAAGTTAAGCCGTTTAACACCAGGTAGTAGAGTATAGTTTTTTAATGTAGTTATCAATAAACAAATGAGCGACCTCAAAGTTCTGACACAACTTCAGCTAGCCCATTCATGTTGCCCATCGAGCTAGGTTGATTCTGAATCCAGTTTTTCACTTAAAACGTGACCGTAGTCTACGGCACACAAATTCTATATAATTATATTCTTAAAATGACTCAATCACATATAAATAAATTTTAGCTCAAAATTGAACTCAAGCTAACTTCTGAGCCGGCTTGAGTAAATTCTGAGCTGGCCGACTCATATGTCTCAATGAGCTGGCTTGAGCCTGAGTCAATTCTCGCCTCAAAAACTAGCTGAGTTTAGGGCTAATCTGGCTTGGCTCAGCCGTTTAATAACACTAATAACAAATAAATAAATTTCGGCTCAAAAGTCGGCTTGAGCCGACTCGAGCCACCCCACATATGGACCAATGAGCCTGAGTCGAATTTTCGACTCAAAAACTGGCTGAGTTTAAGGGCTAGGGCTTGGCTCAGCCATTTAACAACACTAATAAAAAATTTCGACTCAAAAGTCGGCTTGAGCAAACTCCTGATCCGAATTTTCGACTCAAAAACTGGCTGAGTTTAGGGCTAAGCCGGCTTGGCTCAGCCATGTAACAACACTATAAACGGCTTGATTTGAGCTGATTTTTAAAAGCGGCTAACAATTTTAGCCATATTGCCTAAGCCTGAAGATTTCGTTAATAGATGTCCAAACCTTTGTTCCATCTATGACCAAAATCTTCAGACTTGCGTAATATTTTTAATATTTTTCGGATAAAATATTAGTTAGCCATTTTCAAAAATCAGCTCAAATAGAGCCGTTTAACACAACTGATATTAAAAATGATCATTAGGAACAGGTTGACAATATTAAAATATTTGTAGGCACAGAGGGGGAGAAATTACTATGGGCTATGATTTATTTAAAGAAAATTTGACGTCTGAAATATTAATAGGTCAATATTATATATTTTGTAGAATAATTCAATGGGGACAAGAGTTCCGCTACTCCTATTAATTCGGCGCCTATGTGTAGATAGCGTCTGCATGACAGAAAATTCATTAAAAGCAAACCCTTTCCAAAATATACCCTACCCAGCCCCCTCCCCCAAGTTCCAAGTAATTTAACGGCGATATTTACCCACCCATTATGTTATAACAACCCCATGATATTAATTTTAAAATATGGTTAGCCACCATTTAACCTCAAAACAATTCTAATTAAACTCATTCAAGTCCATGATTATTTAGACCAGGAATAAAAAATTAACATAAGTTGGTGATTATAAACTAGTTGCTGCTACCAGTATTTTAAAAATTAACCACGAGCGTGTATAACTTAAACCTATACTAAAATCTTATTTGTGTATGAATGAGGAATAAATATTCAATAATAAATTCTAACTTTTTCATTAATTTTTATATTTAATCTACAATTAGTATCTATTTTTCCTAACCCTCCTAGGCCTACCCTCTCCCCCCTCCCTTAAAAAATTAAAGGCAAATCGCTCCTACCCCTTTCAGGTAGACGCTTATGTAGGTAAATATTTACAGACGTTACTCGATTCAGAAATTTTATTTTAAAAATCATTCGAGGTTTAATTGATGTCAATATTTGTATGTTTAATAAAATTAATTTTAAACTTTTATACTGAGTTTTGACTCCTTTTATTTCTATATAGCTTCCTCTAATCAGAATAAAAAGAAAGAGACTATCTGTATTTAGTATACACTTAAAATAAAACAGAAGAAGGTGCCAGTTCAAAATCTAAATAGACTGGTATAAACAGAAATGAATTTCAAAAATAATAGGAGTCAGGACATGGTCATGGAATTTTTTTTTCTACGATTTTTCTCGGAATAAATTTAATACATGAATGAGAAGACATATTTTTAATATATCGCATGAAAATATAATTATTAAATATATATCAGAGGCGCAGTAGACATTCCCGAGGTCTAATTCAAATTTTTACAGACTCAAGGAAGGCCTCAAGTAATAAATGGAGGTCCCAATAATTTTTGTTGGCGGGGGGACCCCTAATATTTTGTGTTACGCCTCTGACAAATATACAAAAATGTATCTAAATGGTTTAATAGCTATGATCGATAAAAATTAATATAATGCTGAAATAATAACAAGTGATATAACTTTATCCTACATATGATAATTAATTTTCTAATGGGCATAAATGAAAAGATTCCATCATTTAATGGATATAATTTTGCAATTCCTAAATAATATAAATTATATTACGAATCGTGTTGGACGTTGAACACTTATAAAAGTCAAAATTTAAAATAATAATCTGTTAAAGTGATGTAATAATAAATATTATATTAATTGTTCAATAAATTATACAATTCTTTAAAAATATATTATTAAAAAGTCGGCGGGGAGAGGGGGTAAGGATAAAATCATATTTATAATTTATTGCTTGAATGTCATTACAAAAAATATATATTCAATAAATTGTGCGCGTTTACAACATTTTAATTATATGAGAAAAAGTATAAATAAAATAAGTTTTTTAAACCTATGATAAAAAATATTAAATGTTTTTGTAGTGAGCTGTAAAAATAGTATGGGGTGAACAAATAATATACGAAATTATTTTATGTGTTAAAATTTTATACTATATAACGATAATTAAAGTAAAGTCTAATAATTCGCATTTAAAATAATATATTATATTTATATACTGTGCCCCTTCCAAAAAAACTAGCAATATAATCACCAATTATATATTCTTCACCGATAAATAGAAAAGTATGTTTTTTTAAAAAAAATTTCCCATATAAATATATTTCCCCATGATATAAACTGATTCTTGTAAAAAAAACTTTTTTATTAAATACGTGTCTTAATTATAATTCTGTTCGCCGTTTCCCTGCAGTTTTATCTTCGTTAATTTTATTTTGCGGATCATTCTCATTTTTTTGTTCCGGAATATCATCTTGTGCATTTAATGTCGTTGTAATATTTTGAATTCTTGGAGTCGTATTTTCTGGTGAAGATACTGTTATCATAAAAGTATTTTTATCGATTTGATCTATAACACTATCTCTAGGTAATGATCTGGAATCGTTGCTACTACTACTACTCTGGCTTTCTTGCGAGACTTCCCCACCTGATTTAATGCACTTATAATAAGAATCACATTTTTTGCACCATTCAAGATACGCTTTATCGATATCGGAGATACCGCTTGGATCTTGAACGGGTGATGCCGAGGTGAGCGAAATTTTAGGAGAATTTGAAGAATTGGAAGATTTCGGTGTAAAAAAAGGAGAATTATTATGTTTGTCCTGAGATGTTGTCGCAGTTTGTGGTAGTGAGGCTAGAGGTTGCAAGAAAACTATGAGAACGATTGTCATGTTATCGAGACCAGAAGCGCTTAGAGGAGAAAGAGTGTCAGCGGCAAGGCATTTGTCTATCATTTGTTCACAAATCTGTAGAAAGGGATTTATTTTAGTAAATTGGTGATAATAGAAAGGTCAAGACTCGTCATGAAAATAAAAATTAGAACACTGGTTAATAAACTTTCTTGGAGTTTTAGTATCCATTAAGTTCCGACAAATGAAATCTAGTGTTACTCCTACCTCAAGACTAAAATTCGTGAGTTATTAAAATAGTGTTAAATATGCATTTCCATTTAGGTACAAATTCATTATTAAATTAAGCTCTTTTTAGAGCCTTCGATACTTATCTATATATATAATCACCGTAATCAAGAAATGAACGTTTTCGCATAATCTTAATGTTAATTTTTCCTATTAACTTTCCTATCAACTTTCCTATCATCTTAATGTTAATTTTTTTCTATCAACTTTCCTATCCTCTTAATGTTAAATAAATAGATGGAGACTATATATCTCTAATGTTAAATTTTAAGAAAATTTTTTGTACATCACGGGATTCGAACCTATGACTTAACGATTTAAAGGCAAACGTTCTTCCACTCAGCCACCTTCTATATTAAATTTTGTAATATATCTTTCTTATATATGTTATTATTTTGCTATTAACATATTTTTAAATTAATTTATATAATTTAGATCTTATTGTGTTATTTTAAAAAGAATACTAACCTCACCTCAAATTATGGTAAGAATGAATATTATTAAATTTAAAATAGCAAATTAAATTATATTTAGCCAATTGAAAAATAAACATTTATCTCATATTAATTTTAGCGTAAGTATTTATATTCAATCGAAGTAAAATTTATTAATTTTTATAAAATTATTTTTATATTACAATTTAGATTTAACAAATAAATTTAAATTATTTACCACCCCAAAATATGGCAGTAAAAATTTTTTTTTATCTCAACCAAAATATAGGTGCTCTGCAAATAGTTTAAAATACCTATTTATCAATATCTTCCCATGCCAAAAAATTAACCTCCCTCACTAATCGTAAGTACTTATTATAATTTAGATTTAACAAATAAATTTAAATTATATTTAGCCAATTGAAAAATAAACATTTATCTCATATTACAACCCCAAAATATGCCAGTATAAAAATTTTATCTCAACAACAATATTTGAACTCTGGAAATGACATACAATACCAATTTATCAATATCTACCCTACATTTTTAATTACAATTTCATATATTTTAGGCTAAATTTAATAAATAATGATAAATAATCACTAAAATTTGTCATTTATTTTATATAAAAAAATGTATTAAAAAAAAATTTCATATAATAGTTCAAGATTTTATTATTCCCGTCATTCTTGACGGGTTATCAACTAGTAATATATATATTTATTTTTGTTTATTAATTTTACATATTTTTTTTATATACTTGTTTTAATATTCTAGTGTTTTACAATTTTTTTAAATAAATAAAAAGTATCATGTTAAAAAAAAAATTGATAACTTATTTTAAAACACATTTAATTCTTTTCATTTTGTTCACCAGTCTTTTTATTTTTATCAGGATTCAATATTAAAATTTTAAAAAATCTTTTATATTACTAACCTTATAATAAGTTAAATTCGTTTTAGAATTCTTTAATTTTCGTATAATTTGAAAATGAAAACTATTATGTTTAGGGTTGTGCCGATATTAAATATCGGATCAGATCGGCACCGATATTTAGCCTTTTCAAAAAATATCGGATCGGGCCTATACCTGTAAAATACCGATTCGATTTTTTTACTTTTCTTTTTTTTGTTATTTTATGTATATTTATTTTTACATTAATAATATTTCCTAAATATTTTTTTTAAACAATGCAAATGCACAACACCCCTTAAATTTTATTTATTTTTTAAAATATATTTATAGTATTTTAAAAGTTGTTTTATAAAAACAGAAAGGAACACCCATTTATTTATTTTAAATCTTTTTAAATAATAACGCCAATTTTATTATTTATATTTTAAATATGGTAAATTATGGAAATATTTTCCAAAGACAATAATTTTGCAAAATGCTTTATCTGCGGAATTCTAATTTCACGGGGAGGAATAATGAAAAATTCATTTAATACTACTAATATCCATAAACTTTTTTTAATTATTGTAGAAATACAAAAATTAAATTAAATGCATAATTCGATTTTTTACATAAAAATATCGATTTCTTAATTACATTTGGTTCAAAGCGGGGTGGTGAAAAATCAATAAAATATCGGATCGGTTTAAAACCAATGTCAGAAAATATCGGATCGGATCGGTGAAAAATATGTGGATCGGCACAGCCCTAATAATGTTCAATTTCGTTTTCTTTCATTTTCTTATAATTTTACAGATAATATTTTGGTTATTCGCTCTGGGTATAACTTAAGATTTTTAATATTGAAGTCTATGAATTAAATATAAATATGAATTATTATTTATATTTATATAAAGATTATAGATTTTTTATATCATTTAGTATTTTCTTAGTTACTATGTTGTCTATATCTAACAAATAGCGATTAAAAATACCACTGATAAAAAATAGATAAGAATACCTCAATTTATTTTATTTAATGCGACATTCGCTATACTAAAAAAGAGCTCTACAGGGGCAGATGAGGGGATTGCGGTATTATAATTAATAAAAAACTCTTTTAACGCGGGGGATTTATTAAAAACTTATTGTTTTGTCCTTTGCGTCAAAAAAGTAAGATAAGTTATCCTCCTCCAATCCATCCTCTATTTCTTTGTCAAAAAAAAAGGATATCTCGAAATTAACAGTTCTTGCATTATCATTTCTGGGGTTTTCAATAACGATATAACATATTGATCTTCATATATATGTTCAAATCTTTTAAAAAAATATATGTAATTAATTTGATAGTGATAGGTTTAATAACTTTTATTAATCCTATCTAATACTTACTAAATTTTTTTAATTTTAAAATAACTTTCGTTATTGTTGGGGTCAAGTAGCCCAAATGCATTTTTTCTTCAAATTTAATGATTTTACTTACAGTATTAATATGATTTGTTGTAACACATTTTCATAATGTGAAAAAACATTCTTATATAGTTAAATAACTTTCCATAATTATTGTAAAAAACATTTTGATATAAATTAAATTTTAAAAAATTTTGATAAAATTTTTTTTTTAATTTTTTAAACTTTAATGAAGACTAACATCAAAGTTATGAATCAAATAACTTTTTTTGGACATAAGTTTAAGTGGAAAAATGAGAATTCAAACAAAAAAAATTTAATAATAAAGTTCTTAAACTGTAATGAAGACTAACGTCAAAATTATGAATCGAATATAGTTTTTTTATGTTTTGGACATAAGTTTAAGTGGAAAAATAAGAATTTTAAAAGATATTATATAAAAAAAATTTTCTAAGATTTTTACAATACCTTTTTTAAATTTAAAGAATTATTCCAATATTTTAATTTTACTTTTAGCTATCCAAAGAATGGAAATCAGGATAAGAAATTTGAATAATTTCTTAAATAAACATGAGTGAAAACTCGAATTTAGGGTTTTCAGATAATTCTTATTTGTTTCGAATTTTTCATAATCAATTCGAAACACCAAAATAAAAAAACCATTTATTATTTATTTATTCTTTGTAAATAAAATATTGCACAATATAAATCAATTACAAATTCAATCATTTAAAGGAATGCATCGAATTCCCTCTTCAATAAACTTTAAGGTGTGAGAATATATATTTGAAAATTATATGTAAAATAATTGCCTAAAATACTCGTAAGAATTGAAGTAACTTCATTTCGGTTATTGGGTTTAGGAGAATTTGATCTATATTGATTTTTAATTATTCCGAAAAAATTTTCTATCGGATTTAATTGCGGCGAATAGGGTGGCAAAAATATGATATTTGGATAATTCTCACTAATTATCCTCACTCGATGTATAGAAGCATTATCCATTATAAGTAATGAATTTGATGGTAAAAGTGCGAATAATTCATCCAGGTATATCTTGAATTTTATCGCAGTAAAAGCCCCATCTATTATTGTGAATTTTTTCAATCCATTTATTCCTATTGTGCATAGGTTACCAGAAGTTTTTAAAAATATAATGTTTTTTTCAAAATTTTCTTTCAAGTTTTTAAAAGTTTTTTTAAAAAAGGATGTATTTTTCTCAACAAGTTTTTACAATAATTACGGAAAGTTAAATTGAAGTGTAGGGGCTTCCATTATGGGTAGAATGGTTGGTGGCACATCTCGATGATTTTTGGTATGCGACATTTTAGGTTAATAAAAGCAACTACAACAATTAAATTTTAAATAAACCAAAAAAAAATATTTAAAAAATAGGAATTATCTGAAAACCCTAAATTCGAATTTTCTTTCACTTATGTTTATTAAGAAATTATCAAATATCCTATCCTGATTTCCAAAAAATTATATTCGATTCATAACTTTGACGTTAATCTTCATTAATAAAAACTCTTATTATTAAAAAAAATTTAAAAAAATTATATCAAAATGTTTTTACAATAATTATGGAAAGTTATTTAACTTTATAAGAATGTTTTTTCACGTTGTGAAAATGTGTTACAACAAATCATATTAATACTGTAGTTATATTATATAAAATAATTAAATTACAATCAAATGTCGTTTTAAATTGGAACCTAAAGATTTTGAAACTGATATAATACTTTTTGGGCATATTTTGCATTTGGTAAATATTGGATTAGTTCCTTCAATATAGATACTGTATTTATCATATTTGGCCATGGTATTGTTAATTCATCTGATTTTGAATTTTCAGAATCAGATGATGAAATAATAATATCAATGATTATGCTAATCTATTAAATAAAAATATAAACAATACTCAACCGAGAATAATATAGGGCCAGATGGGCTGCCCTTAATACCTTGGAGTAATGGAACTCCATTAGCATGGGATTATACTTGCATCGACCGATTTGCTCCCTCGTTTAATAACAACTCATTCGTGCGAGCGGAAAACTCTAAAATTAATAAATACACTTCCATAACTAATTGCAATCTCATACCAATCGTATCCGACACAACCGGTTTTTTTGGCAATTATGCCATAACTTTTTCAAATCCCTTGGTAAAAAAATTCGCGCCATCACTGGTGACCCACAGGAAGGCTTCTATCTCAGACAGCGCATTTCTATTGATATATGCAGATCTAACTGCAATACCATCCACCCTTTTTTGACCTCCTCCCACCCAACATACAATTTATTATACTAATTTTTTTTATTATACAGTTTTTATATAGATTTTATTTTACAAATAACATATATTTTTAATATATATTTTTAAATTACGTATATATGTTTTACTTTTAACGTTCAATTTGACTAATAAAAATCATTGTAATATAAAAATAAAATAAAAATAATATTTAATTAAAATAAACTATCATAATGGCGTGCTAAAAAAAATGAAATGTGAAAAAGGAAAAACTAAAAATATAAGACTTTTTTCTTAAATACGGATTAATATTAAATTTTTTAAAATAAAAATAAAAAGTGTTTTTAAAATTGAAAGAACGTTAAATTCGAACGCTTTCGTCAAAAAAAAGGAACGCGTTCACGTTCAAAGTTCGTCAAAAATAAAAGAAACGCCGTTCATCATTTTTTTCAAAAAATGAACTGAACGTGTTCGTTTACAACACTAAGTAATAGTAATAACTAGCACTAACAATATATATGTGGAAATAAAAATTTATAAAATTAAAAATTATGTCAAATACCTTTTCACATTCTTATTTAAATAACTATAACTTATAAACAATTATTGTGACAAACTGCAAGATAGGAAAGGTGAGAAAAAAATTGAGGGGTTATAGGGGCGACCCAAGCCTATATAATTTTATAGAACCGGCTTAAAACTACTTTGTTATATATATATTATATAAAACTATATATTTTATAATCATTTTTTCTAATTTTGCAGCTGATCTAACATCAATACGGCCCACGCTTTAGGGTTGAACAGATATCTTATGAATCAAGTCACTGCTTATAAAAAAATAAAGCACTCTCTATAAAAGATAGTAAGCAATTACCTTATGAGGTTTATGTCTGTTTTGGTGGGCTTGGCTTACGACAAAATCGGCAACTTGTTGATTATTAAGCACGTCCCAGATACCGTCGCTGGCTAACAACACAAAATCGATGTCGGAGGAGGTGGTAAGATCTACTGTTTTTACATCGGGAAAAGCTATCCAAAACGGCGATAAAATATAGATATATAAGAACTGTTTGTAATAGTTTTACAATTAAAATGCAGTTGCGTCTTTGGAGGAGCAGAAGCGTGATCAATGTGCCGAAATTTAATTTAAGCATGCCCAAAATATTTTTGATTTTTTTTAAGGCATGCCTTAACCATGCATTCACAGTTAGCGCGAATTCACGGCGAAGTATATAAAATATGCTGTTTTGAGCCGCCAATTCGCACTGACTGAAAGGGTAAGGCTGTATATACAGTGGGAAAAGATATTACTCGATTTAACAGCTGATCGAGTTTGTAAAATATCTTCCAAATTAGCTTTTTTTTAATATAAATTTTAACAATTATTAATATTAAATAATCAACAAAAATTGATTTTATTAAATATATTTTTATATACTCGATTAACTTTTGAATCGTGTATATATCAGATCAAGCTTGTGACGCCATAGTTAAATTTAAAAATTCATGTGAGATTTGATAGTTACCTTTAAGTAAAGGAAATTGGATTAAAGGAAATTGGATTGTAGTATATTGTTAAACGTTTCATATTAAAGTTTATAAATAAAAAAATTATAAATGAAGGACATTTTTGTCCGGTGTATATTTGGAAGTCTATTGAATTTAAAAGCTCTTATATTATGAGACTAAATGTTTATGTAAATGTTTCATACTCATACTAAAAGGTAATGAAATCACAATGAGATAGCTATATACCATTTTAAAATAACAACCGTTAAGATTGTTGAAATAATCGAAAAAAGAAAAATATTCAATTTATACGGCATATAATGCAAGGAGTGCCGTAAACAATATTCAGTATTTTCCCTCATAATACTCATAATAATTCATAATAAAACAAATGTAAAATTTTCATCGTAACAATTTTTGGTAAAAGTTAATGAGTCCTATGGTTCTCAGGAGAGGGCCATATTTATAAAATCTAAATCAAAGCAGTTTTTGGAGTTCCCTGAAATGGTAAACCCCATAATTATGAAAAAAATATATATAGCTGTATACTTACGCGAAATACATTGTTTTTCGGGAGGTAAATTTGTGTTGATTTTAAAAGAAAAATCGCCCAGAGCTCGTGACATAGCTAATATTCCTAAATAAATAAACATTATTTAAAGAATCAAATATTGATAAAGACTATTTCAAAAATAATATTGAAAGAAGACAATTGCTATCTTTTCCCTTCATCCTTTCTCTTACTTCTTTAGTTATTTATCTTACATGTTTTTTTAGTTTCCAACACTCAACGAGATAAATAATTATTTTTTTATAATAAACCATTCATATTTATCTTACATGTTTTTTTAGTTTCCAACACTCAACGAGATAAATAATTATTTTTTTATAATAAACCATTCATATTTATCTTACATGTTTTTTTAGTTTCCAACACTCAACGAGATAAATAATTATTTTTTATAATAAACCATTCATTTACCGTTGACTCGATCGAAGGAAACAAAGCTGCCAGAGCTTTCAATCCTAGCGATTTCCTGAGGATCCGAAGGTTTATGGTCGATAGATAAAGGACTTGCTATGCCCTTGATACATATAATGCCCCTTGAATCGCCCACATTTGCCTTTACCGTCATTAAAAATTAATATAAATAAATTCATTTTTCTTATTAGTCTTTAATCATAAAACGGTCTCTTTTAAAGATCTAGATTTTGATCCGGTCCGGATATTAACTATACGACTGATATTTATTTATAAATAAATTATAATAGGTAAATATTTATTGTTCTCATTCATTATCTTTATGAAGATTTCCCAAATTTAAAATGATTATTAAATATGTAATTACATATACATATAGTGCCTCCTATAGAACGTGTGTTAGTCTAGGAAATATAAAGATGGAAACACATGATGGCAAGCTAATTTGTTCGGAATTAGGCTCGATTTAGATCAATAATTCACAGTTTGGTATTATTTTCAGTTTAATAATTATATTCAGTTTTTAAATTATTTTATTAATTTTAAAATGCTCAGTTTTATCATTTATTTCAATTTTTAATTTAATTCAGTTTTAAAATTGCGTTGCACAGTAATTTGTTTATTTTTGAGGTTAACAATTTTTACAGTTTTATATCTACTTTTGTTTAAGAAATTTTTATGGAAAGTAATACCATTGAAACTAAACCAACCATAAACTAAAAAATTATGGACTTCATCCAGCTACTGCAAAGTCAAACAAAAAGACATTAGTTAAGGAATTTGAGGATATTATTGAATATCAAATACCAGCTAATAATAGAATATCAATTACATATTAAAATATATACATTTTAAAAAATTTGAATCGACCTTTGAAGAGTTTTAAAAAAATCTTTATTGTATAAATAATCAACATGTCAATCCTGAATAATGGGAACGTAATTGCACATTTTTTTATATACTATATATCTGCAAACATATTGTTGGGTTAGCAATCCGATTAAACAACTGTAAACCACATCCTGCTGCTAAAAATATTAATATTAAAGAGAAGAAAAGGAAGACCAGCTAAGGCTAGAAAGGCTCTTATAATTCAATAAAATCCTATAAATTCATTACATTTATTCAGGCATGTAGCTTGGAATTTTTAACGGAAGCAGTGGGGGGGGGGGGGGGGGGTATGGATAATTTTTTTTATTAAATGATTTTTTTAATGCATTAAAAATTTATTAGAACTAATCATCATTATTAAAACCAAACTTTATTTGATAGGGAATCGAGGAGTTCGAATGGATACTATTGTGTGCCAAATCTCTTTGAATCATAATCATATATTTTTCTATAAATTTATTCATATCAAAGTAGTATCATAAAATATCATAAATCACATTTCAAAATATATAACTATCTCTCAAAAACATCTTTTCTTTTATATATCTGATTAAATCGATTTAAAAATAATAAGTTTATAATAATCGATCATCGAAGTTATGCTAATAAAATAAAATGTAATTTAAATAATGATATAAACTGAATTTAAAATAATTTAAAAAACTAAATATAAATCGTATAATATTTTTGTTAATGCAGTAAGACATTAAAACTAAAACAAATATCATTAAAATAAAACTAAAACTTAAAATAAATTTATATATAATATTTGAAAATATGATAATTTCAAACACACTAATAATAAAATATTGGAAAATACAAAATATTAAAAAAGAATATAATACGGTTAAAAAATATTGTAGCTATATAAACCGGTATGAAAAGTAAATCCCAATAAAATATAAAATTAAACATTTTGTAATGATTAAAAAAGTTAGTCAAAATATTGTTTATAAATGAAAACTTAATATTCTTTATGATTGCGCCAATTTTTTTAAAATTTGTTTTGTGTTGGAGATTAGATCTCGATGAGTAAAACTAGTCTATTCAATCAATTAAGATATCATACTTTTTGATATAGGTTCTTATTCTCTGTAATAAAGAAAAGGTCATCTCATTTGTGCTTGTACTAATTGGTATAAAATATATTTTAAAGTATGCAATGTATTGTATTCCTTGGAGGATTATCTACAAAAATAAATCCTTCATACCATTTAATATCTGAAATTAATTGGTCTTTCACTATCAAGATTTGTTATATCCTCAGATCAGAGGGAAATATGACAGATAGTATTTGTAAATTAAATAAAGCTATTTGATAAATCACAAATCGTTCACTGATTTGAATCAAAATTAAATCCATAAGTTGAATATAAACGGTAATTTTATAATGATTTTCAATTGAGTCCACGTTAATATTGGAACAATTTGTTTATTGGTAAAAAATCATATAATTTCGCTATCACCTCAACACTCACATAAATCTCGAGAAATTCCTGGTCGATATTATCTCTTAATCTTCTAAGTTTTAATATAATTATTCGCGATTTTCATAACTTCAGCCAACTCCATTTTTTTGAAAAATATTGCATAAAATTGTTGTGTAATAAATAATTTATTAATATATTCCAATGAAAAAAATCAACAGTCATATTAAATCTAATAATGTATCAACCTCAGATGAAATATGTGTTTCAGGTGATTATTAAATTAAGATCATACAAAATAGGCTCTTCTAGATCCAAAAAATGCTGTAACAGCTTGATGTCGAAGGCTCCGTCTTGTTGTGCAGCCTTTTTGCAGTTTTTTTTTCTTGTAACAGAAGTCTCAGAAATAATTAAATTTAGCGAATTCTATCTATTTAGATATCTTTTCATACGCTTTAGAAATTTTCTAATCATAGTTATTAGTAGAGATAATAAACAATAAAAAAATTTTGGTTGATAAAATTTTCTTATATTCATCAGGTTTAAGATTTAAAAAAGATAAGAAAATAAACTTTTAATTTTAGTGAGATAAAATATTAATATAAAATTTTAATTTGCTAATATTTAGAATTAAATATAACCTATTTGAAATAGAATACTTTGCAATTCATGATACTCTTTTGTAATTTTTCAAAAATTCATGTTATGGGGTGGGAATTTCTCCTCTCCCACCCCACCTCCCTGAGTACTTTTATATTTTTTAAAAAATTGCTAAGAGGAGAGATTTCTCACCCTCCCTACCCCGCTGACTTCGCATCTGTATATATTAAGATATTTAATAAATATATTTATAAAAATAAATTATAAAAATGCAATTTAAATCTTTATCTTTTGACTTAATTGGAGGTTTGGCAAATTGAGAATTATCTTCAAATCTTGATTGTTTTGATCAGTTAATATAATTTATTTAGTATAATTATTAAATATTGACATATTTTGCAACTACAAAATAAAATATTATCTGACATTCAATTATTTTTGGTTAACTATAATAGGCATACATTGATTTGATGTAAACTGAAATTTTAATTAAAACTGAAATTTTTTATTTAAAAGCTGTGCAAATATTTAAAAATAACTGAATAATCAGTTTATTTGAAACTATGATAACATTTAAAACTGAACATATTGATTAAAAGGTGAAATCAGTATAAAACTGTGAATTTCGATTATTCTACTGTGCAATTAAATGATACCGTTAAAAAGAATAACTAATATATTTAGTTTCATCATAGTAGACTAGGAAGTTGAACAGAGGCACGTAGGGCTATTTATATCTATCAAATCATTATTTCTAAGTAATTTCAAATGGTGCGAACTTACAAATAGGACTGAATTTAAGATGGAAATAAAACTAGCTCAGCAATTAAATTATACTAATCCAAAGTAAGGGTTTTGATTTAATACATTTTCATTTTATTATCTATTCTATGATTTATTATTTAGGTATCCGCCCAGAATATTAATATTATAAGATTATATTAGCAAATATATAGAAAATAAGATGCCAACAATAAGCTATGGTAAGAAAGTATTTGCCCATTGCACCATGTAAATATGTCCAATGTGCCCTGTTTTTATACTTAAACATTTTTAAAAAGTAACATAAATATTAGGAAGAGAAGTTAGCTAGCTATAAAATAATCATTCAAGACTTCTCGTTAATATTTGCAGTTTTCACAAAATCCTACTCAACGTCAACATGTTTATCTCCGCTCTCCCTTAACGTTTGCTAAACAATTGTTTTTTATTTTTTAAAATACCTGATTTCTAGCATTTAATTATTTCGAAATTATTTAACCGACAAATTAATATGAAAAGAATTACACAGTATAGTTTTGAGTTTTTGATGATGACGCAAATGGCAGTGGTCCCTGATTTGTCGTTCTTAAGCTCTTCGCCTGAATAATAATTTTTTTTAAATAAAAGCTGTATCAATCAGAGACCTTCATGGACCTGGCCGGCCCCATATCCAGCCTATAATATTATATTTTCTAGCGGGCCTGAGTTTTTGAAATTTTTTTTAATGGGTCTAGGCCTAAAATTTTTTAATTAAAATTTAGCTTACTTAAACCGGTTGCTAAAAAAAATATTGCAAATTTTTTCTTTTAATAATAAATTTTAGTATTGTAAACAAAAGACTGCCATATTTTCATTAAATACAATAAATTAAAATTTTGGATATGTGCTTTATAATATTAAATAAGAGCAGGACCTGGACCGAAAATTTTGCAGGCCTGGGCCGGACTCAAAAAATTATAGCCCATAAAGGTCTCTAGTATATATATAATACATGGTAACCTTAACTTCATGAATCCAATGCTAATATAATCTTTTATTTTCCTAAATCAAACTTTGGCTTTTTGTATCTTATAACATTTTTCAAAAACTAGTATATATTTAGGACTCCATTTTATTTACTTTATTACTCTAAGAGAAGACGTTAAAATATAAAGAAATAAAATATATAAAAATATATTACAATTTTTTTAAAAATCTTTAGACCTTCATGTTACTTGAGAATGAGATTACTACGTTATCAAAATTATCTTAATAGCGCTTTGATAAATTTATTTCTTTTTCATTCATTATTTCTTTCTTTCTTTCTTTCTTTCTTTCTCTCTTTCTTTATTTCTATGCGATTTATTACAATGTCTCATTTCATCGTCGAGTTCTAAATAAGCGTTTTCGATTGCTTGTTGAATGTTTCCTTCACCTAAAAGAGCAAAATTGCATTTAAAATAAAATAATGAGTCAATAAATGCAGTTATGATTTTACTTCGAGTGGGGGGGGGGAGGGTCAAAAGTTATTTTTTTTTATAAATACACTATATTTGGGAGAAAAGTTACAATATATTTTGTGCGCCAAAATAAGATTTATGGCTTATAAAATGAGTTTTTAGTATCAATAAACTTTAACGAGTTGCTATAAATATATAAAGGCTTAAAAAAGTCTTAATATTATTATTTGGCTTTACTAAATATTATCTTATATAAACTAAATCTTAGGCTATAAAAAGTAGGTATATAACATAATGATAGTGCTAAAGGACCATTCCATGTCAAATCAATAGCGATTAGGCAGGCCCTTTTTAAAATTGTTAAAAATTTTTGGAATTATTTAGATTGGTAAAAAAATGAGAAAGTCATTAATTTTAGCTCACTAGCAGATCTGGTTCCAGAAATACAGTGTCTCAAAGGTGCGAATTATAGTGACTATAGAATCTGTAAAATTTTTAAAATGCTTATATCTCAAAAACTATTTATAGTAAAAATAGATATATCATATTGTAGGTGAAAAAAAAATTAGGCATCAATTTGAGTTAACTTTCGGTTTGCCTATATTTTTTTACCCGTTTTTTTAGAAAATTTTATTTTACCTTTTATAGACACCTCATATATGCATATACGATGTGAAATCCTTGGCGACGCTATCATCTATTATTTTTACCAAGAATTGGCATTTTTATTTGCATAAAATAGACAGTGCTATACGAAACTACTGATTATGGTTAAAATTTTATTGCTAATTTAATAACCGGATATTTTAATTCTTTATACTAAAATATTTCTAATTTATGTGACACCTTGTCAAATTAATCAAAAGGGTCCATTTTCAGACGATCATTTTTGGAATTTGTTAAAAATTGCTGGAATTATTTAGACCGGTAAAAAAAAAGAAATCCGTTTATTTTATATAACTAGCACACCTGGTTTCCGAGATACAGAGTCTCAAGGAAAAACGAAGAATTTAGTTCTTGTAAAATTTTTAAATTGATCTCAACAACTTTTTAAGGTATTTCTATTAAAATGAAGAATATATCGTCCAGAGAGATATTGCTAAAAATTATGCCTCTGTGGTTCAAGATGAAATACAAGGATTCATTAGGCAAGTCACCATTCATCCTTTTGTAATTTATTACAAAACACTTAATAATTTAAATCATTTAAGTTATGTAATAATATCGGAATCTATCATTCATAATACAATTGCCGTTCATTTATTCCAAAAATATTTAGTCTGTTAATTAACAGAGAAATTTAAAGCCGCCCAAAAAAAATTCTCTACTTTCAGATGGAGCAGGATCACAATATAAGAATGGCAAAATTTAATCAATCTTTGCCACCGTGAAGATGATTTCGGATTAAAAGCTGAGTAGCATTCATAAGCCATATCTCATGGCAAATCGACGTGAGATGGAGTCGGAGATACAGTCAAATAGTGGCCAGGTTTACAAAATTGTTTTAGAACAAAAAACATATCCTAAAGAATTTTTTGCCTATTCTAAGGAATATTAAAGTATAAAATTTCTAATTCATTAATATATATTAATATATTTTTAAAATAAAGTATTAAAAAACAGGGGGAAGGGGGGATTATAAAGATTTGTCAGGCATTGAGCCAAGGTTGGAGATAAATTTAGATTTACGTATCTGGAGATATTCTTTGCCTACGATATAAATTTTCTTTAGGATCTCCAGTGATTGCTGTTGGCTTTAAACCTAGTTTCTAAAAATAAAATAGATTCGTCGCCGAAGTTCCCTAATGTGGTAGTAATAAAGGGTTAAAAAAAATACGTTCTCTATATGGGAATATTTGTTAAGCTTGGATGATTCGATGGTCGCATTTGAAGCGTATTGTGCGTTCGATTTTACAAACGCATCTATACAGGTATAATTCAATACCCAAAGATTGCTCTTTCGACCAAGGAGTAAAAGTGACATAGTCTTTTATTGTGGAAAATATTTGGTCCGAATGGTTCAGTTGGAATAAATGTTGGATGATAAGCACCTTGTAGGATTATGTTATAATTCACCAGTGGCAGGGGTATCTGCCCTTAGAAAATTTGCGGTTTAAAGAGTGGTGCCCTTTACTGCCAACCGGAGTGTTGTAAAGGGTACATGAGTGTTATTGCAGTTAGGACGGAGCCACAATGATATCCTGAGTTCTTCGGGAGAGATGTATGTGTCTAAGTTTTTGACAGTGGGTGACCACGATTCTTATTCATTGTGGTTATTAGTAAAAAGAAAATTAGTAAGTTCCTCTGTTTGCGGGTTCGAAGGGAGAAAATAGACGGAACGTACAATTAATGGTGAGTATTAATCTTTTTGGAGGAAGCTTGTTGGACGAAGTGTGTTGTATTATTATTGTCCCATGTGGTAAAAGCTGTCTGGAGTTCTGGTAAAAGTGATTCGTTTATTAACTCATTGGAATAGAGAGGCGATGAAATGAAAGCTGTCAGTTATAAAGAAATTGGAGATTGGATCCCTATACCCCCGGGTTTAGGAGGAAGGGATCCTTGCATCTATGACAAGGAGGATAATGTGATATTTAAAACTTCTTCTAAAGAGTCTTTGATTGTCTTTCATATTTTAAGGAATAGATTTCTTCTATATCATCGTCGAATATGAGAAAGAGCAAAAATTTAGAAGAAAGATTCAATAAAGACTGTACAATACCAGGAACTCAAAAATTTCATATTTTTTTCCAATTTCTAAAGATAAAATTTAAGGTAAATTTATTAAAATTTAACAGAATCGCAAATATTAAATATAACATTTCATTCGAATATTAATGTGAATTCAATATATTAAAAAAAATGAATATATAACATGTATTTATGACAATCAATGGTTATCATTAATAAAAATGAATAATAAACAATTATAAGAAGTATATTTATTATTTTAAATATGATAAACCAACTCCCCTTATTGCTCAGAAACACAGGTAGAACAATATAAGTAAACCGAAAGTTAAGGGCTCAATTGGTGCCAAATATCTTTTCATTTAATAGGCCTTTAGAGATTTTTTTAAGTACAATATATATTATATTTTTTACTATATAAAGTTTTTGAGATATAAGCATTATAAATTTTACAGATTTGAAAGTAGCTATTTTTGCCCTTTGAGGCACCATATATCTTTGGAACTGTGCTAGAGAGTTAAAATAAATGGCTTTCACATTTTTTTTAACAATTTTAAAAGGAGTAGGCCGAATCGTGATCGATTTCACATGAATGGTCCTAAAACTTAAGGAAATTGATGATATAAAGTATTTGCAGCAATATATAAATCTATATTAAGATATTCACTTGTATAATAAAATTTCGTTTACATTTACTTTATAAAAGTAAATTTAATTCTTATTAATGTAAACTACAAACAAAGAATATGGGAATATATTTTAACCCAAGCCAAATATACTGTAAATTTTATCCTTATTCTAAATCATAAGTATAACAGCATAATTAACATTTGATTACATTATATACCTGTTTAGGGAATATGATTTCCCATTTTATTAATATTTACTTCTAGAACTGTGCCGATCTTAAATATCGGATCGGCACCGATATTTAGCGTTTCCCAAAAATATCGGATCGAGCCAATATCTGTAAAAACAGATCCGATCTTTTTACTTTTCTTTTTTTGTTATTTTATGTATATTTATTTTACATTAATAATATTTTCTAAATAATTTTATTTTAAACAATGCAAATGCACAACACCCCTTAAATTTTATTTATTCTTTTAAATAGATTTATAGTATTTTAAAAGTTTTTTTTATAAAAATAGAAAAAAACACCAAAAGTTTTATTTACTTTAAATCTTTTTAAATAATAACGCCAATTTTATTATTTATACTTTAAATAAAAGAATTTATTTAAATATATGGAAATATTTTACAAAAGGCAAAGATAATTTTGCAAAATGCATTATCTGCGGAATCATCTGAGTCTGCATTCAGTACGGCAGGGGATATTAGTCCATATCGTAAAGCTTATTGCCAGACTAGAGGCTCTCATATTTATTTTAAAAAATCTAATATATTATAATTTTAATATATAAAATATTACAATTTTATAATTCATACCAACATAAGATGGATATTTATTAAATATATTTTTTTTAATTAGTCTTAATTGTAGAAATAAAAAAATTAAATACATAATTCGATTTTTTGCATAAAATATATTGATTTCTTAATTACATTTGGTTCAATGGTGGGTGGTGAAAAATCAGTATAAATATCGGATCGGTTTTGAAGCAATATCGGATTGGAAAATATGTGGATCGACACAGCCCTATTTACTTCATTCTGTAAATTACAAGATTTGTGAGATCGAACTCAAAACCGTAGAATAAGGAAAACCTTATTAACGGGAAGATACAAAAAAATTTGTGTGGGGGGGGGCATGCTAAAAAAAATTTAAACGGTACCCCTGGTGCATTCCCCCCCAGCCCTGGATAAGTATAGCTTATTATTTTAGTGCACTATTTTTTTCTTTTAAGTATCGATAAATTAGATTAAGTTTAAGTTTACCATATTCAGAACGTTCTACGATTTTTTGCACCAGGTGATGTGAAGAATACTCGGCAGTCCTATTACCTAAACATAATAATATAATAATTCTATAATATTTTTGTAATATAAAAAATATATGATTATTTTATTCTTTTTATTAAGTTTTAATTTTTAAATTCTGCTTTACCATTTTTTAAAGTTCTTCTCAGTTTCTTTTATTAATTTTATTTATTTATTAGGGGTGTACCGATACCAACTTTTGGACGCCAATCCGATATTAGCTATGTTAAATTGGTATCGGCCGATTACCAATTCGATATTATATCTGATTTTGAAATCTATAAATTTACTGATCGTTTTAATTTTTAATGCATACATCTAGTGTTGCAAATATGCTATATTTGAGCCAATTTTTAAAAACAACTAACTCGGTATTTTATCCAGAAAAATATTACGCAAGCCTAAAGATTTTTCTCATAGTTGGCACAAAAGTTCAGCCATCTATTAGCGAAATCTCGAGGCTTAGGCAATATTTTTCTGGCTAAGATATTGAGATAGCCGTTTTTAAAAATTGACTCGAATGGAGCGATTTGAATCATTACATACATCTAAGCATCTCATATACTTTATAATAGCTTAACATCGATAATTTAACTATACCATAACATAAGCCATTTTATATTATAATGATCAGTTATAGTTTATATTCATGAATCAAAAATTTATGAAATCTTTTTATCGATAAATCACTTATTATAATAAGTAATATATATTATGAAATTTGAATTAAATATTTTTTAAATTAAGACGCCATTTTATTGTTTTATAATATCGGCCGATAACCGATATTTTAAAAAAGGTGAAATATCGGCCCGATCTAATCTGGCACATCTCTATTATTTATTAATAACTCATTTAAAGTTACATAATAATTAGTTTCGGTTTATTATACTTTATCAGCCAATCATTTTAATATTTTTCATGCTTTTTGTTTTGTGCTAATTAATAATTTATTGATATAAAATTTTAGAATTTTACAATTATACCAGTATGTTAATAATTTATAAGTAGAAAAAATTATATTTCAATTAATAATCGATATTTAAACATAATATTTTTATTATCTTATATTTTTTTAAATAATTCCCCCAAAAAGTGTATATAATATAATATTATATATATATTATAATATGAAAAACCAATTATATAAAATCAATCCAAAAAAGGTATTTTTTGTTCCAAATTATTCTGATCAAATATCTATAATTTTTGAAATTTTGATATCTATCCATCTAAGATAGAATTAAAACTTAAAATATGTCAAAACTCATTTTGGCAACAATTTGACATCGCGGTTATAAAAAGAACAAAATTTATAGACAAATTAATTTATATAAAAATATTTAACTTTTTAAATTATTTTATAAAATAATTTTTTTTATAAATAGCTCTCTTTATTTAACATGTAACAGGACTTTGAAAGTAAAAAGCCAAGGTCTAATTTTTAAAAAAAAATAATTAAGTATGACGTGATGATTTTGTGATATAAAAAAAAGAAAAACTTTATAAACAATCAAATGAGATTGTATTATATAAGTTCTAAATATATGATTTGTTTTATATTACATTTTACATAAAAAGCTCTGCACCGAAACTGTTTTTGGCAGTCAGTGCATAATCCCAGAAAAATTTAAAAATTTTTGTCCACTAAATCTAATTATCGGAGAGGGTTATACCCGGGTCCAAATTTAAATGGGCAGATTGGTTCATTTAAGGCTTTAATAATCCCGTTAGATCTTAATTGGTATATCAGAAATGCACTTTTAAAACATTTACTATGAATATCCGATTTTAGAGATAATTTTTTGTCTGCCCATTCGTTTCTTAAGATTTATGATTTATATAAAACCGATATATGACCAGATTTTTAAATTAAACTATGTTAACGGTTCATCAAACCTTTAATAAGAAATTAACCAGTCAATCCCCTTGATAGAAAAATTATTGAATCTAGCCAAGACTAATATCTATACTCTTTTTGAAAAGTGAATTTAAATTTATTTTGTGTATCAAGCAGGTCCTATAAAATATTTTTAAATAAAAAAGTAAGGTCAAGATGAATACATAATCACGAGTCATAGTTCAAATAAATTAAACTAATTGGTGTAAAAAATATTACATTTAACTACCTAGTATTATGCAAAAATTTTTAACGGGTCAGTCTTTGCAGATCTTTAATTATAGGTTCTTTCATAAAAATCTTATTAATTTGTAAATAATGCAGTGATCTCACATGCACGCTGTCTTTCATTATTCAAAGCACTGGATTTAATTTCAATATATATAAAATATACTTTATTAGATGAAGTATTAAATAAAATCAAAGAAAAAAACGAAATCGACAAGGTTGTTTGCAATGACAGTTTACGCCATGGAGCATTTACGTAATTCCATATTTTGTTTTAAGTACGATTTTAAAAAGGTGAATACATAGAAAAGTATCCAGAATGATCATTATTTGTTTCTACTAATTAGATAACTAGGGGTCGGAGTCGATTTTTCGACCAAAAACTCGACCTGAGCCATTTTTAGTCGACTAAATATAGTCGTTCTACAACATAAAATCCTGTTTACTATGGAGTAAAATAAATAAATGAAAATTTTTTACTTATTTTATTAATAATGAAACGGTACTACTTCAAAAACCCTTAAACATTTTTTATTCTGAACACGGATTCGAACCATTTTTTTTAAGGATTCGCATCCATGATTATTATATGAACATGACTTATCCCTTTCGCGTAAAATTTGCATAATAATATATATCCATATGTATTTTTACCCCCATGACCATCAAACACTCCAAAAAAAGAGGTCCCAGGGTCTTCCGGAATCGACATTAAGCAAGTTTTATAATCCTCCATATCTAATGGTAAAGAAAATTATGAGTATATTCAATATTTCATTTATATAAATTCATTAAATTTTTAGGTGGGTATGAAATATTTAAAATGCTAAAAGCGAGGGATTATTATAAACGAGTTTACATTGTATATTATGTAGGGCTGTGTCGATCCACATATTTTACACCGATCCGATCCTATATTGGTTCAAAACCGATCCGATATTTATATTGATTTTTCACCACCCCCCTTTGAACCAAATTTAATTAAGAAATCAATATTTTTTATGCAAAAAAATCGAATTATGCATTTAATTTAATTTTTTTATATCTAATAATTAAAAAAAGTTTACGGATATTGGTAGTATTAAATAAATTTTTCTCAAATTAGATTTCCGCAGATAACGCATTTTGCAAAATTATCTTTGTCTTTTGTAAAATATTTCCATAATTCAGATACCATATTTATTTAAAGTTTAAATAAAAAAATTGGCGTTATTATTTAAAAAGATTTCGAATAAATAAAACTTTAAGTGTTCCTAATTTTTTTTTTAAACAATGCAAATGCACAACACCCCTTAAAGTTTATTTATTTTTTTAAATAGATTTATAATATTTTAAGTTTTTTTATAAAAATAGAAAGGAACACCCAAAGTTTAATTTATTTTAAATCTTTTTAAATAATAACGCTAATTTTATTGATCCGATCTGATATTTAATATCGGCGCAGCCCTAATATTATGTAAATTTTAATACTTAAACTGGGAAAATTAAAAATAATTTATGAATGGTTAGAGTTTGAAGTGTGGATCGGGAAAATTTTAAAAAATTATAAGACTCGGTTAGGAAATTCGCGCATAAAATTATTTTGAAATGGGAAGGATATTTATACATAGTATCAAACTGGGCCTCCCAAATCTTTGATTATTCGTAAAATTTTAATAGGCCAGTACGGGGATTAAAATTTGATATTTTTTTAATTTTGAGCAAATATATGTGATGGCCTGAAGGTACAAAAAAATTTTAACGGACCAGGGTGGACTTTTTGCAAGAGTATATTAAGCCGGGCAACAAATTTAAAGGACTGGGCAACTTATGCAAAAATTCTTAATGGGTTAAAGAGGGTCGGGCAAGGCTTTGCAAGCCTCTAATTTGAAGACCTAAATTATATATAATTTTAAAAATTGAAAGATAAATATTCATTTATTTGGATCTATATAAATAGCATATCTAATATATCAAAAAATAAATCAGTAGCGTCGCTGAGAAGGGAGTGGAGTGTATCAAAGCACGCCGAGCTTAACCTTATAAAAATTTTGGCATGCCTTTATTTTTCCTACTTTGGTATTGACAAGTGATCGCATCAAGTAGTGTTTGCAACGGTCCGGTCCGAATGGTCGGACCGACGGTCCGGTCCGGTCCAGTCCGGTCTTATTAGACTTTTCGGTCCTATGGGACGGTCCCGTCCAACAACACGGTCCCACGGTCCGGTCCGGTCCGACCGAAGACCGATTAAAGAATATAAAAGTTTACTATAAATTGCTTTATAGTTAATGTGTATGTACATGAACATATAAAATATGATTATTTAATGCCTAACACTATATAATATCTAATTCATCGTTTACTTTTTATATTCTTCCGTTTCATTAAATTCAATATTCATAGTTTACTTTTTATATTCTTCTTTGATTAGGCATTTGTGTATAATATAATAAAAATGAATTGATGATATAATTGAAATATTAATAGGGTAATTTAACTATTCATTTTTAATAAATTTAAATGCAGAATAAAACTTTTGTAGCTTTATAAAAAAAAATTTTTTTAGGTGGGACCGGACCGCCTGGACCGGACCGGACCGACGGTCCCACGGTCCGGTCTCATTTGACTTAACGGTCCATCGGTCCGGTCCCATTTTAGAAAAAAAAGACCGGACCGGACCGGACCGGACCGTTGCAAACACTAGCATCAAGCCTAATTTCCTCCACTATTTTACAAAAAAAAGTAGCGCGCTATAGTATGCTTTACGCTACTAATTTTTTTAAAATATTTTTTAAGTATCTCTATTTCTACAAATAAAAAATATGACTAAAATTTAAAATATATATTATTTATTTATTTTTTGTTACATCTCAATAATAATAACATTTCCATACTGTCATCCCAAAGTCTAGAGCGAAGATAATAAGCTATGACTAAATAATGGTTCAACACTAGCAGAAAATGCAGTATTAAATTTAATATATATTTTTATATAATAAAAATCATCAAAAATATTCATTTTAGTATTTTTAAATTTAAAAAAATGCATTTAGGGATTTTCAATAGTATTATTTATTTCAAAAAAATCATCTATAGTAGGTAGTGTTTTTGATCTGGCTAGGATCCTAAAATTATAGTAGTAATAGAAGAATAGAAATTATGTAGTGGATAAGTGGATGGTCATGTTTGACAACTTTCTAGGTCACCTGGAAGGATTAAAATAAGTTTTTTAGCATGTTTTAATAAAATTTATAAATATTTAAATAGATGGGTGGTTAATTTATACATGTTTAACATCCAGATAATAATTAATATTATCAATAAATAGATGAGTCTGATGATAAAATGAAATGATAGTATTAATTATTATAATTTTAAATTTATAATATAATTCTTGAATAACATCTTATGGCCAGTTGAAACAAGTGATGTTTGTACTGGGCTAAATCAACTTGCACATAAACTCATCTAGCTCAAAAACTATTAAAGATACAGCTTTGATTTAAATTTAAAGATTAAGGATTGGGCTACACATTGATATTAAAATTGTTTTATATATTACTTTTAAATGTTTCCTCACTGAAGCTACTAGTCAAATTTGATGATAAAACTTTCCAGCATTACAATGAAATTTATACTCAATATTAATTTATCGTGATTATAATATTTTGTAAATTACTTTATCAATATGATCTATGCCAAAATTATCTTCAATATCAATCTCTATCATCTACATTTTAAATGATTTTGATAACTAAATTTATATTATAGATTTTTAAATATAAATTTAAATTTCAAAATTAAATAAAAAGATTATGATTTTAGAATTAATCATAAATTTATTTTTATAATTTTTATGTGTATTTATTAAATAAAATTGTGCTCTTTGCTAATTTTTAAATTAGTGGCAAATGTACTGCTATAGCTATTAATTTTTATAAGTAGCTAGCTAAAGCTACTCCTACAGAAAAAATTAGTGTGTTAAACAACACTGGTGCCTATATACTTTTTAAGAGGAAGCCATATATTTTTTGAATAAGGATATAAAAAATTTATGTTTGTTTCTAGAAAACATTTATTGTGATGTGTTAGTAACATATAATTATTTTTAAATTTTATTCATTTTATTTTGAAATATTATTAAAAATAGAAAGAAATTATAATTAAAGGTATATCAAAGATATAAAGAATTTAAGGAAAAATTTTAAAAAACTAAATAGGACAATTAATAAAACACACTCTTTTCCTATCTTTCTTTTTTTTTCCTAATAATTAAATGGGAATCCTCTGGTATACTATCCAATTTTCATTATAAAATCAAGACATAACTTGAAATATATAAGTAAAACACTGTCCTGTTAAGATTTTTGTTGGCCCAGGGTGAAAATAAATTTACTGGCTCTTAAACAGGGTGCCATGCTAAAACTATTGGCATCCTAGGAAAAATAATCTAGCAGTCCTAAACCACATAATTTTCCTATGTATTAAAGGATATCATAAAATAATGAACTGTTTGACATTTTTAAAATCAGGTTTATACATAAACCATTTATAATATGAATTATGGAATATTTTATGGCGAATTATAAATAATTTGTAATAAATGATTGAATAAAATTAAGCATAATTTATGTATTTTTAATATATTTTTTAAATTACAAGTAATTTTTAAAAGCAAAAAAAATAAAATTTGGCAGTTCTTTAAATAGTTTAATTTTAATGTCAGAAGTGGCTTTCCCACCTGCTTCCCAGTTTGCTTGGGTCTATTAAAATGTATACATGATATCTTAATAAAATTATTTACATATAGATATGAACTCAATTTTATATACAAATATTTTTTCATTGAAGAAGCCCCTTTTCTCATTAAAGATTTTACTTTTAAATATACTGTTTGTGCATCAGCATCTATAAATATTTTTTAAACTTAAAAACGTTTTTTTACTTATTCTCCATCCTTGCATTGAGGAAGCACCAACCATTAATTTTTTATTTTCATAAATTTCCGAATCCTTATGAACCATTGGTTCTGAAGCATATTGTCCCATACCAAACCTTGATTTAATAATCAATTATAGTCCTATTGATAAATAATTAATAAATTTATGGTAACATAATATAATATACATTAAAATTATAAGCATAAGCATTATATAGACAAAAATTTGGTATATAATATATGTCAAAAATGTTCACTCGATTTCCATATGAATATACCTATGAATGAATGAGTTAAGCTTTTAATATTAGGGGAGTTTTAACAAATATTAAAAAGAATAATTTTACTATTATGATAAAAAATTTAACAATTAATTGTTTCGGAAATATTTTGATATCTTTTATTTTATTACTTACACCAATTGTTTATAAAATTAATTTTTTTTACAGACATATTATAATTAGGCCTACTCAAAAACATAATTAAATATTCGCATTCAATAGTTTTGAACGAATATATTTCCATAAGCTATCAAGGTATATTTCTTTATACGAATACAAATAATTAATCATGGCCGGTCAAATGCGCCGCCGCTGGTGATTTTTAACCACGCCGACGCCGCCGCCAAAAAAGTGTTGGCGCTCAACACGCCACCGCCGATGTAAAAATTCGGCAGCGTGGCGGCATGCATATTTTTTATTATTAAAAATAATATTTATTTTATATATTATTTATGAACTGTAACTAGAAGAAAAAAATATTAAATATTTTTTGAATTATTAAAATGTGATTTTATTTTTTAAAATAAATAAATATTATTTACTATAAATTTGATTTGTAACAATCCATATAATATACGCTGGCTCACTTTGGGCAGGTCTGGGACCAACGTGCTAGATAAGATAAGATTAGGATAGTAAAACCAATGACATTAGTAAAACAGAAAAGTAATTGATATTATTATATATTTTATTATTTTAATCTTAGATTTTATTTTAACTGTTAAAATATTTAATTATTTTATAATAGAATATTTAAATAAAACTAATCTCATCCCACATTTAAAATTTTATGGCATAATATATTTAACATTAACTTTTTATTATGTAGAAATATGGCATTATTTCAGATACCAAAGATTTACCAGATATAACAACACCTAGCAGGAGTGGATTAGATGATGTGTATTTATCAATGAAAGCATACATACGTCAACAAATTAATATAGGTCCTAAATTTTGTGCTATAACTTTTGATATGCGGACCGACAAATATAGACGGCGAAATTATATTACCTTTACATTTCACGAAATAGATAATAATTTTAATATTGTATTTAATAGATTGGCGACACATCCTGTCACTTAAAAACATACGGCTGAAACTATTCTTTCAGAGATAGAAAAAGTTGAAAATGAATTTGATTTAGGGTCCAAGAAAATTCAAGGTTACGGATGCAGGACCCAATGTAAAGAAAAGTATTCGTCTAGGAGAATATGACCATCATTTATGTTTGGGGCATGGACTAGTGACAGTCGATGGAATAAAAAAAAGTTAATAAAATAGAACGTCTCATTAAAAAAGTGGGAGAAATTACATTTGCCTTAAGATTCAACACAACGAATTTTGAAAATATAAACGATATCGAAAATAGAAAATGTTTTGAATCGATATCATTTACATCGGATATTTTAGATTTGGATGATAATGATTTTTTTTATGAAGATTGTTTTGGGTTTGATGATGATAGTGAATATCAAAAATCATATGAGAAAAAACCTTAAAATTAAATGTGCCTACATGTTGGCATAGTATTTTAATAATGCTGGAAAGTGTGACTGGCAATAACAAAAATCCTATAAATATTCTATTAAATAGAATAGAGAAACCGGATCTCAAATTATTTAACTCCGATTGGGACTTGGTGCATGAACTTTTAAATTTTCTTAGAACCTTCAAAAAAACTATTGAATTTTTATACATCCAAAAAGGAGTTACTATAAATTTGTCCTTATTATTTCGTAGTGAAATTAAATATTATTTAACTGTAAAAGAATATGAAAATCCTCCCATGCATCCCTTAAACAAAATATGCTTACTAAATTTGATCATAGATCCAATAACCGATCTTCAGGTAGTATTTTAAAATACATAAATTATTTTTTTTATATTTCTCTTTATTGTATATTTTTATTTAGGTTATAGGAACACTTTTGGATCCTCATTTTCAATCTATAAACATAGTAAATGAATATTCAAAAGGAAAAAAATATTACTCCAGTGCAATTTTTATGTCAACACGCTACCTCTCTATGACCTTACACGGACGAATTAACCGAATGTGAAACGACGGAAGTTGCTTCGAAATTCGATTATCTTGCATTGGCTACGAAACATTCATCTATTCATAATAATAATCTGAAACAGTAAGACTATTTAACTAGTTTAGAAAAGAGATATATTCATTATTTTCGCCTTATAATTTAGAGATAAAAAATTTCTTAGATTTTTGGAAGATAAGAACATTGGATCTTCCTAAACTTTCAATATTAGATAGAAAGGTCCTGTGTGTTCCAGCTACGAGCATACCCAGCGAGCGTGTATTTTCCATAGCTGGGCTCACTCTGAACTCTAAAATATCATTATTATGTCCTATAAATCTAAACATTATATATGATAATTTTAACTTAATAAAATCATTAAATTTTAGTTATAAACATAATAAAGCATAAATTTTATTTTATAAATGCTTTCAATGAATTTATAATTTAAATTTTAAAAAAATTGAGTTAGTGGCGGCGTCTAAATCGATTCGCCGCCACCAGCCGATCATTTTTAAAAAAGAAACGCCGCCGCCGATAATGCTACTGTCGGCGCACATGTCTACTTATAGCTCAAAATCAAATGGTTTGGCTGAGCACTATATACGTATTATAAAAACACGCTTCTAAGCTAGAAGGAGATGTGGAAGGAAAAAGGATATGGGATAAAGGAATAGGAAACGTAAACCAAAAATAAAAGCAAAATAAAAAGAAAAAAACGAGTAAGGAAAGGATAAGGAATAGGGAAAGAAAAGAAAAACAAAGGGAAAAAAAGGTATAGGAGGGAGAGGGAAAATGGAAAACAAAGATAAGCAAAAGAGAAGAAAAAGAAAAGAAAAGAAAAGAAAAAGAAAAGAAAAGAAAAGAAAAGAAAAGAAAAAGAAAAGAAAAAGAAAAAGAAAAGAAAAAGAAAAGAAAAGAAAAGAAAAAGAAAAGAAAAGAAAAGAAAAAGAAAAGAAAAGAAAAGAAAAAGAAAAGAAAAGAAAAGAAAAGAAAAGAAAAGAAAAGAAAAGAAAAGAAAAGAAAAAGAAAAAAGAAAAGAAAAGAAAAGAAAAGAAAAGAAAAGAAAAAGAAAAGAAAAGAAAAGAAAAGAAAAGAAAAGAAAAGAAAAGAAAAGAAAAGAAAAGAAAAGAAAAGAAAAGAAAAAGAAAAGAAAAGAAAAGAAAAGAAAAAGAAAAGAAAAAGAAAAGAAAAGAAAAGAAAAGAAAAGAAAAGAAAAGAAAAGAAAAGAAAAGAAAAGAAAAGAAAAGAAAAGAAAAGAAAAGAAAAGAAAAGAAAAGAAAAGAAAAGAAAAGAAAAGAAAAAGAAAAGAAAAGAAGAAAGAGAAGAGAAGAGAAGAGAAGAGAAGAGAAGAGAAGAGAAGAGAAGAGAAGAGAAGAGAAGAGAAGAGAAGAGAAGAGAAGAGAAGAGAAGAGAAGAGAAGAGAAGAGAAGAGAAGAGAAGAGAAGAGAAGAGAAGAGAAGAGGGGAAAACGGAAAATATCTACCTATTTCCTTACAAAATATCTCCTAAATTTTAACATCACTATCACTATCACTTCCCTTCTAAATATTAAATATTTGTGTATAATCAGGTGCGTAACCATTGGGGGGGGGGGATTCCCCCTCCCTCATCGGAAATTTGATTGTTTTCATAAATATCATTTTAAGCTAATAAAAAATTTGCCCCCCCCCCCCACCCCCAATCAAAATTTTACAAATATTTGAATATCAATTTTCCAACATATTATTCAAAAATATTAATAAAATGGAAAATTTTTTAGTCAAAGAGATTGAAATCAAACGGTAATTTATTTTATTATTATATATAATTATTTTATTGAATTCAAAATTATAGTGAGTTAGAATTAATAAGTATTTTTAATAATATTTTAATTATTAATAATTATCTATAATTTTTTAAATATTTTTCATTTTTACTTCCATTTTGTATAACAGAGATTTTGAATGCAAGATATTGCACAACAAAAGCTCATAGTCTTCTTACATAAATGAAAAACAAACCATTATCAAATATCAATCATAAATTATTAATATACTTGGAAAATATGAGTGGCAAATATCTTCAAATATTGAAAAATCTTTTTAAAATAACATATTTACAAATAACATCAATCTTAATCATAAAATTAGGATAATATATATTTGTTTTTTTAATTCCAAAAAATTAGAAAATATATAGCAGCTTTTTACATGAGAATAATTACTTTATAGGTTGCCAAAATGGCGTCCCCAGCTGATTTGTATCGATGTACACTTTTAATGAATGAATCGTCAGTCTAGGTATATTATATGTCATTGGGCTGAGCATGAAAAAAAGTAATGTGTCGTCAGAATCGATATCATTATTGAATTCAATTGATCAATCAGAATTTATCATTGCTGCTAGTTGCATCAATAAATTAGTTTTCTATAGCTCACTACTTTGTATAAATTTACAAAAACCAAATTTAGACGTGGTTCAGGTTATTGATTTGGTGGAAAATATATATGAACAGGTAGATACACTAAGATTGAATGTAGATGAATATTTTCATAATATTTATCTAGACCTTGAATCGAAGGCTAAATTTTATGATATAACGCTAATTAAACCTTGTCTAGCACCTAGGCAATTATTGAGATGTAAAATAAATATTGGCTCATCAACTGAAGAATATTATAAAATATCCATTTTCATCCCATTCTTAAATACTTTTATATCGCAAATAAAAAGTACGGGTTTTAGATAAAAAAAACAAGTCTTTAGCAATCTTCAAGTTTTATTACCCAAAGATGGTAAAATTAAATATTTAGCAAAATTTTAGTGAATTCAAATTGTGCTATAAATATTTACTATGTTTAGCTATTTTTGAGCATGCTATTGATGCGCTCAATCGGTGTAAAGAAACCTTGGCTCAATTTCCTAATATTATGAAGTTGTTTTATATTCTTGCATGTTTGCCTATTACAACATGTACGAATGAAAAGACTTTTTCCAACTTG